TAATAAATTACTAGGGAGGGGCCTCATCATCAACCTCTTCTTCCATTTACACTTGAGCACTGTCAATAAATACTTTCTGATAATTAGATTAGGTACCTGAGTAGAAGTGAATGCATTTTGTGAAATAAATAGAGTTGCATTAAACTTTAACTTTATATGTGATCCCAATAGAACTCTCCTCTTAGTTCGAGTCAATCAACTTCAATATGCTCATCTCATTAACTATAACATACTCTGATAATGACAACCTTTCTCTCTGCTCAATTAACTATAACTATAAATGCACTCCTAAAGCCAATGATGATTGCCTTCTTGCTTATGATTCTAGTTTGTCATTCTACACATGATAGTAAGATAGACACTAAAATACTCTCATGTACTCATAATCTCTAGCATGATGCCTCGACAATATCTCCTTTGGGGACTTCTTTCTAATAACTGCAGAAGGCAAAAGGTTCACCAAGCGGCAAGCATAGTCTATGGCTTCTACCCATCTGATTCTATCCAACTTAATGTTAGACAATCACATTGAACTTTCTCTACTGAAGTTTGATTCACGCTCTTTACCATTCCATTTCGCTACTCGAATAACGATGGTATCTCTATTACAACTCTTTAGCACTCTGTAAGAATTCAGTCGATGTGTATTCACCCGCATTGTCAGATTTGATATATCAAATCTTTTTATCACTCTAAGTCTCAATCAACTTTTTCGAAGTTATGAAAATCTTTAATATCTCGCTCTTGTGCTTCATGATGCACTCACAAACATTGCTGAAGTAATCATCTATAAACTAGATAAATTATCTCCATCCACAAACTAATATTATCTTCATCAGGCCTCATAGATCTGTGTGAACAAACTCTATAAAACTCTTTGTAGTGTGGATGACATTACAAAAAAGACACATTTGTCTTCTTACCAAACACGTAATATTTCACAGAAATCAAGTTTACAAGTGCTCACTCCTCTGGTCAATCTTTGTTTCATTAAAGTCTAAAGTGAAACCTCTTCAGCATGAGCTAGCCACACATACTACAATATAGCGACATCATAAAAATCATCTGCAACAACAGCTGTTCCAGTCACTCTAACATCCTGAAGATAGTAAATACTTTTATGCTAGACTCTACTCTTCATTATCGTACTCTTTTTCTCTCTAACCTCTCCGTTCTATTCCTTGGGTGTGAAATTGACTAGGATAAAGTGATTTTTACCTTAAAACAATCAATCAGACTCCTTGGAAAAGTACAACAGACGAGGGAAAATATTTGCTGTTTATTTTATTTTCCTACCGTAAACTTATTTAGAATTATAACTAATACTGATCCTGAAGTCCGTCTCCTTGACTTCCTCGCTGTCTCCATCATTGATTAATCTAAAATGCCAATTAGTTAAATCCGACAAATTTTGGGTGCGCAAAAGTTCAAAGAATCACATCACATTGGCTGTCAATGTGGCACAGCAAACCAAACCTTTATTTTCTTAATCCCGACGGCCGAATTTTATATTTCCCCCGGTTCTACAGTATTATTACAGATAATTTAAACTAATAATACTATGAGACCGTGACAACCATTTATTATGTTGCTATCAATTATATAAATGAAAAATATATTTTTTAAAATAATTATATGGCATTAATTTTGTTACAAGTTTTATCTACACAAATGACAATCATCCTACTAACTTAATAAATAGTAATAATTAATATTTTCTTATGTAATTTAAACAATTTAATAATTTTGTCTCCTCTGAATTTTTTTTTATCCACTACGTAAAAAAATAAATATTTTATAATTTTGCTGTTCCAGAGTTGTGGCTGAATTAATTGCTGTGGTTGGAAGGTGTTGAGAAATTTGGAGGAAAAAAAATTAGGATCGACACAAATCCAGAAGAACATACAGAGATTTATGAGGTTCGATAAAGATGCTTACATTCACGGGCTGTAGAAGATTTTATTACTTCGAGGAATACACCCGTCGATCGCCTAAAAGATTACAAGGAAAAATTTCTCTCTCTCCTCTCTCCTCTCCTTCTCTCTCTCTCTACCCGAGAGCTTCAAACTGAAGCGCACCAGAAGAAGAATCTGAAAAGCTACCAAAGCTGAAGAGAGATGTCTGGGAAACCAAATCCCGAGGAACACAATGAGATTTAACTAGGTTCGACAAAGAAGCCTACGTCCTCGGGAGTAGAGCGGCGACTTTTCCACTAATCCAGAAAAAGAGTACATGATACATAATCTAATTAACCTAGGGTTACAAACAGACATATTTATAACCCTAGAAAGAGCAGAAAAAGAAACATTGAGTACAATATGTAATTACCAAATTACCCATGTACTGCACCCACAACCCACATAAGGAAACTCTACTGATTTGGATTGAATCTTTCGCTCCGCTCCAGCATCTCTCTCTTATATGGCATATGAGTCATACCTAAAAAACACATCTCTTGTAAAATTACTTATTCTCTATTATTTGTTTTTGTGATAAAAGTAAATTACATGATAAATAATAGAAAATCATTTGATATAAAAAAATAAAATAAAGTCTTACAAACTTAAAATAATTTAGATTTAATTTATTTTTTTTTATTTTTATATATTTGAATATATTTTATATTAATATTTTCAAAATAATTTTGCTTATGAGTTAATGAAGTGTGAAGACCTTGATTTTTGTTAGTGTTAAAAGTACATTTGCATGTAAAAATATACTTCTTCGCATTTTAAGTCTAAATAGCGTGATATAAAAAAAATGGATGGTATAAATATAGAAAAACAAAATTTATGTATTAAATAGGTTAAAACATAAGAATTGGCTAGGATGTATGCAAATGCCCCCCAAAGTGCGGAAAAAATTTGAGTACTTAAGACGTACCCAACGCTGCATACATAATGAAAGTTATATTCACGTTATATCCGCATTATATCCGTGTTATATGGTCTGTAACCTCGATGTAACATTCATATAACCTACCTATAACATACCTAAACTTACGAATAAGTTTCGCACTTCTATTTTCACATATATGTAGGTTACATGTATGTTACATAAAAGTTACATAGAGGTTACAAGAGATATAACACGAGTATAACCTTTATTATATACGCAACACGCAGCTCTGCGTGTACGCAAATTTTTTCCCCAAAATTTTTCCCCAAAGTGCAGCCAATTTTTTGAGTTTAGGGTTACAACAACTGTATTAATAAAGATAGAAAATAAAATGAAAGTTGGATTTGGCGTGTGGGCAAAATAATATAAAAAAAAAATTAGGAAAATCGAAATAATATGGAGGTTTGGATTTGGCGTGTGGTGGACGTAGGAAAATTAAAATAATATAATTTTTTTTTTTAAATTTCTGGTAAGGCGTGTGCCGTGCTTAGCAAAATTGTTAGGATGATCTGTATAATTATCACTTTAAAATAATATATATACAAAATTTACTTGTGACAAATGTAATGGCATATACATTTACAAAATCCTCCAAATTTACAAATTTTAAGACTATGGACCCGTTTGGGGCAGCTAAAAAGTGCGTATGGTTTTTTGAAAACGCAGTCGTCCCGTTTAGATAGCACTTGTTGATTGATTATCCAAAACGCGGTTTATATTTTTGTGAAAGACGTCCACGTTTTGCGGAACAAATTTTACGACTCTGCCCTCAACGTCATTCACTCCCGTGACCCTGCCCTCAGATGCCTCCGCTCTCGAATCCTTGGCAATATTCATGCCCTAAGTGCTCCTCCCCTACAATCCTACTCTTATCTCACAATTTTACCATCTGTTTAAAATTTTCATTTTGGACAATCATTTTAAAACTTTTGCATAAATTACAGGCCATGCCCAGGTCAAAGTTTCATAATTGAAGTGCCTAATAATCATAATCCTACTCTTATCTCACAATTTAATAGCTCAAATCAAACATTAAAATATTATTATTTAATACTATCTTATCCTGCTGATTGAAAATCATTTATGAAGGACAAATTAAGCGGGAAAGAAGACGAAATATATATAGAGAGGGAAAGAAGACGAAGACCTGAAAGCTACGATTATACGTACATATATATATATATATATATTACTTCTAAATATCATAATCCTACTCTTATCTCACAATTTAATAGTTCAAATCAAACTTTATAATATTACTATTTAATACTACTGTTCAAAGCTAGAAGCCAATTAATCGGGCGATAAGTTGCTAGCGAACTGAGCTCAATGAGCTGATAAGTCAAGCTCAAGCCAACCCTGTTCGTTGGTGCATGAGCCCACTCATTTTAAAATAATTAAAATATAAGCTCAAATTACTTTAAAAATCAATATCCCTCCTCCTCTTAATAAAAAAAAAAAGTGGAAAAAATGATTTTTTTACATTTTATATCAAATATTTTCTTATTATTTATCTCTTAATTTCTCATTTCATTAAAACACCAATTTGATTTCATACTATTTTCTTTTTTCCCTAATAAACAAGCTAGTTTGTAAGTGATCTCGAACTCGAAACAGCTAAGCTCGAGCTCGATCTTATTCAAATTCATGTTCAAGCCAAGAATAACTCGAGCTCGACACAGACTCATTTACAGCCTACTGTAGCTCAGACAGATATTTGAGTTTGATCTTATCCAAACATAGTCTCGAGCCATTAAATAATCATCCAGCAAGAAGACGAAAGGTAAGGGGTGGATAGTCGTAGGTCCTACACAGGCAAAGAAAGTAGACGCTCTTACATAGATACCCCCAAATTTTTATGTATTTACATATCTTACACCTAAACACCATTTTTTGCATCCATATTACTCAAATCTTTCATATCATATAAAAAATATTACTATTAGAACTTTTAAAAATTGAAATACATTTGTTCAGAAGAAGAAAAAAAATGACATTAGATGTTTTAGGTGTTAGGTATTTTTGTAAATACATAGGAATTAAGTGGTCTGCTTGGAAATCATTCAAGAAAATAATTACTACATCTCCTTCAACCAAGCCAAGCCAAGCCAGTGCTTGGGACTCTGCTATAAATTTAGGCCTGTTTAGCCTTCCAGGAGCTCATCCTTCTTCCACTCCTCCTGCTTTCCTCTAAGCAAAAACCCTAATTTCTGCATCTGATTTCCAGTACCAAATGGATCCTTGCAAGGTATAATTTGCTTTTCTCATGAATTATATCATTATTATTATCATTATTTATTTTTTTTTTGGAAAAAAGGAAGGCAGCTTCTCTAGTGTTTTTTTTTTCTTTTTTATATTTAATTATATATATATATATATATATATTTTTTGGAAAAAGGAGGTTTATAGCAGAAGAACACAGATCTGATTAAGAAATGAGTAATTAGTGAAAGAGAAAATTCTGAATAAGTTTCTGTCTGAAAGTCTGTTTTATGATTCCTGTCTTTGCAGATCTATGTGAGGATATAATTCTTTTATTTGTAAAATATTTGGATGTGTTGGTAAAGAATTACAATAAGTTATGAATTGCTATATCATTGAATTTCGTAAGGCTGTTTGATAGCATAATATTGATAGGATTTAGTAATGACTTTTTTTTTTTTTTTGTGTGTTAAGGAATGGCTAGAGGCTATTATTCGAGCCTCCATCCACTTCTAATGTACCAAACAATTCAAGTACTATCTTCTTAAGATCAACTATACTAGAGAAAAAATTATTCCATACGGATTCGATCTCCACTGTCCATCACAACAATTTTTTTTTTTTAATTTAAAATAGGGACAAACGGTGGACATCAGACACTATATGCATTTCTACATACGGTGTCTGTATGGAATAATTTTTTGTGCCAAAGGGGGTTCTGTGAGGGGTTTTATGCCGTAGATGCCAACCAACAGGTCGGGATACACGACACATTAATGAATGAATTATTCATTTATAATGAATCATGCACTAAAAAAAAAAAAAAAAAAAAAAAAAAATCTAAAACTCCGTTAAATCTTTTTATTTCTGAGTCACGCCATTTTTACGATGTAAATCCAAATTTAATTAATCGACCCAGAGCTGAATTTATTTCATCATCACTCGCGAGCTATGTTGGCCGATCTCATAAATTCAGATTTATCAAATTGTATAAATTTTATTCAACTTAAATTTAAGCCGCACGCAAGCCGCCTAACTATAATTAATTAAATTTTATTTTCATGAGCCATCAAACATCAATTTTTTGCAGATAGCCGAACGTTTAAATCAAAATTATGGGTCCTACCCACCACTAATTTGGACCACACACTCAAGTAAATGGACCCGTGATTGACACAGTGATGGGATTCTGTTTGTATTTTTTTAATATAAAGTTGATCGAGGAGTGAATATTAAATTTTAGGGCCAAATACTTACAATCACCCTAAATTTATTATTTACAAATCAATCAAATATAAAAATTCATGATAAAATTTCAATCTTAATGAAAAAATGATTGATTGTTTATAACTAGTATATAAGAAATTAAAAAGGGGTCTTAATTAAAATTTAACATGAATTTCATGAACTATTTTTTTTATTTTATTTTAAAAATAATTTCAGATTTTTTATAAAAAATATGTATTTATTTTATTTAATTTTTTTCGTCTCTACAGTTCACGCCATCGAGCGCTTACGACACGTCCTACACCACCACCAATGCTGGCGGAGCGGTTTGGAATGACGACCAGGCCCTTACTGTCGGTTCTAGAGGTAAAACATTTTTATAATTTTTATTTAAGTGAAAATTTGTATTTTTTTTTTTTTGCAAGAACATTTTTTTTTTTCTTAATAGATATAGAAAAAGAATAATTAGATACAGATCACTTGAAATATTAATATTTATAAATACATCTTGATGATTTATTTGAACTACTGAACTGATATATTCACTTGTACCACGATCAAATTATTGAGAATTCAATAACAATGAAAAATATAGATTGGGATTTTACCATGAGTTTTGATATTTGAGTGAGAACTTGATGAAAGGAAGAAAGAGAGTAGCTGATTTGTAAATAGTAATGTTTGAGGTGATCTCTATGTAATTACCCCATAAAAAAAGCTGTTGTGAGAAAAGTTTAGCTGTATATTTTTACAAAAATGAAAAATTTTCTTGTTGATTATTTTGTTTAAATATTAGTATTGGGACGAACAAAAACTAGCCCTAACTAGAGGTGTAAGTGAGTCAAGTTGACTCATGAGCCGGCTCGAGTTCGGCTCGATAAGTGACTTGTGAACTGAGCTTGATGAGTTGACAAGCCATGCTCAAGCTCAAGCTAATCCCAACTCTACCCGTTAGCTCGTGAGCCGGTTCTAATTATTTTTCTTCTAATTTCTCAATTATATTTGTCATTTTTATTACAGTTCTACCTTAGATTAAGATTATTTTCTCTCTTTTAGAATAAACAAGTCAGCTCATCAGCCGGCTTGAGCTCGTAGATATAAGCTCGAGTTCGAGCTCGAACTTGAAAATTTAATTAAACTCAAGCTCAAGTTGAGGGTAGCTTGAGCTCGACTCGACTCATTTACATCTTTGGTCCTAACCAAACGATTTAGTAATGAATTAGAGGAGAAAATTCTAACCTATAATTTGACCCCAAATTAAATTATTTTATTTTTATTTTTTTAAAGTTGAAATTAGGTTATCTAATCGACTTAGGGCACGTTTGTGGCAGCTTGGCAGCTTGTGTTTATTCAGATAAGCCGCTTATCTGAAAGTGCGGACTGTGGGGTGCGACCCGCATTTAACGTTTAGTATAAAAAAACTAACTTCATTTTCGGAAAAGCTGCTCATACACAGTTTCTAAACAATGAAACAGTATTTTCAAAATGCCGATGCAACGAATAAGCTGCCTCAAACAGAGGCTTAATCGTGTTTCAACCTTAATATTAAGCATCGGTTGATGTGCATGTAACCAGGCCCCATATTGCTGGAGGACTACCACCTGATAGAGAAGATAGCCCACTTCGCACGCGAGCGAATCCCGGAACGTGTCGTGCACGCTCGCGGGGCGAGCGCAAAGGGCTTCTTCGAGTGCACCCACGATGTCAGCAACCTGACTTGCGCCGATTTTCTCCGTTCGCCGGGCGTTCAAACTCCGGTCATCGTTCGATTCTCTACCGTCATTCACGAGCGCGGCAGCCCTGAGACCATACGCGATCCCCGTGGATTTGCGGTCAAATTCTACACGCGCGAGGGTAATTGGGATCTGCTCGGCAACAACTTCCCCGTCTTCTTCATTCGCGATGGCATCAAGTTCCCGGATGTCATCCATGCCTTCAAGCCTAACCCTAGGTTTGTGAAGTTCATATTCCTTTTTACTTATTATTGCATCAGATTAAATGATAGCTCTGATTATAATTTCCCTTATTTGTTTGGTTGTTAGGTCTCACATCCAGGAATACTGGCGCGTGTTCGATTTCCTGTCCCACCTCCCCGAAAGCCTGCATACCTTCTTCTTCCTCTTCGATGATGTGGGTGTCCCCTCTGACTACCGCCACATGGAGGGATTCGGCGTCAACACATACACCTTCATTAATCGCGAGGGCAAATCCCACTACGTCAAGTTCCACTGGAAACCGACATGCGGCGTTCGCTGCCTCCTCGAAGATGAAGCCGCCGCGGTCTGCGGTCGCAATCACAGCCACGCTACTCAGGACCTGTACGATTCTATTGCCGCCGGTAATTACCCGGAGTGGAAGCTCTTTGTTCAGGTGAGTTTTTATTTAAAAGGAATGTGTGAAGGCATAGAACTAGTTATTAATTACAGTAATTGCCACATGATAGGGTTCATTAATTATGTCTATAGGTTATGGATCCAGACCAAGAGGACCGCTACGACTTTGATCCCCTTGATGACACCAAGACGTGGCCGGAGGACATCCTGCCACTCCAGCCCGTCGGCCGACTTGTGCTCAACCGAAACATTGATAATTTCTTTGCAGAGAATGAGCAGCTGGCTTTCGGTCCAGGTCTGGTTGTGCCGGGCATATACTACTCCGATGACAAAATGCTTCAGTGCAGAGTGTTTGCTTATGCCGACACCCAGCGTTATCGCCTGGGCCCAAATTATCTCATGCTGCCCGTCAATGCGCCCAAATGCGCTTTTCATAATAATCATTATGATGGCGCCATGAACTTTATGCAGAGGACTGAGGAGGTATGTGTGTGTGTGTGTGTGTGTGTGTATGTATATATATCTATATCTATATATATATATATATATGATTGATTGGATATGTAATGCATATTGATTAATGTTGGTTCTCAATTTTGTTCAGGTGGATTATTACCCATCAAGGCATGCTCCCCTGAGGCATGCAGACAGGGTTCCTATTCCGTTGCGCCCACTTAGAGGAAAGCGTGAGAAGGTGAGTTCTTCTGTTGCTTGGTTAATTTCTTCTGTTATCTTTCGATGTCTGTGTGTTTGTGTGTAGTGTGTAATTAATGGTTTACGTACAAGTGCAGATCATAATTGAGAAACAAAATGATTTCAAGCAATCAGGGGTGAGATACAGAAGCTGGGCTCCTGATAGGTATCCATACTATATTACTTAACTTTAATTAGTAGTATGTGTTTGGGGGCAGCGGTGTGGTGGTGATGCTCGCCGCACCGCTCATTTTTTTTGTCGCGTTATGTTTATTTTTCAAATAGTTGCAATTGAAAACTGTTTTTTGCATTGGAACTTAGGCTAAGTGCAATGCAATCACTACTAGAAAGTTACGATCTTACTTTTTAAAAGAAAAAGGAAATTTATGCTAGTTACTACAGTTTTTTGAATATCAACTTGCTTCCCCAAACAGACCCTAACTCTAAATGTATTGTAGATTTTTTTTGTATCTATTTGATGAACATTTTGTTTCAAATTTCTCAGGCAGGAGAGGTTCATTCGTCGCTGGGTTGAGGCTTTGGGACATCCCAAGGTTAGCCATGAGCTCAGGAGTATCTGGGTCGGCTATCTGACTCAGGTAAGTGAATGACCTAATACTTAGAATGAACAAACAGAATTAAGTAATCAATGCATTTAATTATTGATGATAATGATTATTTAGCAGCTAATCTTTCTAATTTGCTCTAAACATTATTTATTTTAAAATTTTAACACATTTAAAAAGAACTCATGTTGCTCAGGCTTTATGCCATCACTTCTCTTGCTGGTTTATTTTTGGAATGATAAGTCTTATGATTGATAATATTTGGTTGTGCAGTGCGACGCTACTCTGGGACAGAAGGTTGGCAGCAACCTCAATGTGAAGCCGAACATGTAATGATGTTAAATGTGAAGGCAAAGCAGACTAAGCACCCAATAAAGAATATGAGCTTCTTCAGCCCTTTAGAATAAGGCCAAGTACCATGTAGCCATCTTGATCATATAAGAAAGCTTCAATGCTTGAAGTTTCTTTGTTCTTGTTTGCTTTTGTGGTGTGGTTTGATAAATGAACAATGTTGGAATTAATCATGTAGAATATCCTTGGGCAATGCATTTGAGTGTAATAGTTGATTTTATGAATTTTTGTTGGATAATGTGTATGTTCAAAATGCAATTATGTTCACATTTAGGGTTGCTTTTGGTAATTTGGCAATTTGTTCTATTTTATTGTAGGAAGTCAAATCTATGTTAGGTTTATAGATGCTAGTTTAAATGGGCACGTTGATGCGTCTAGTCTCAATCTAGTCTCAATCTAGGTCGACACGGGGTTTATAAATGAACATGTTATACTCAATCAATTAGAGAACTTTTGTTTGGGGTTAATTTTGAGAGCAATATTCGAGGTCTGTTTGATGAATAAATGAGGCTGATTTGTTTTCTCATGCACATTTTCTGCCATATGTCAAGAATATGCCTCTTCTTCTTCTTTTTTCCCGATCGGACCCCATATTTTGAGATTCTTCTTTGTTTATAAGCATTATGCTATACATTCAAGCATGAAATACACCTTTTAGAGCATCCCATAATTGAAGTCTGCATGAATAAACAACAATACCTAAGTTACCAAATTCTTCACTTATTCTAGCTAAAGGATGAGGATAATGTATTTTGTTTTTTTGAACTTCACCCACATGTTGTGACAAGTTAACTCAATTTGATCTTGCATGGTGGTGGACCACAATGAGTTGAATGAGGCATTGGACGGCTTCAATTTAATTTCTTGATTTTTCGTCGATTCAACATACTATATCGGACTTCCTTTTAGTTTCATAAAATCTACTATAATAAAGACTTTTGAGTAAAGCATTTTATATTGTATGAAATATTTTGTAAGAACCCCATTAAGACTAAAAACAATAAATATAATAATAAAATATTTCATTTTCATTGTATTATTGCTTATTTAAAAATTATACACTTTCAAAACCGAATTGCCAAGTCAAATAAAATTAGGCCATGGTAAGAAAACAACTTGATTGTTTAAGTGTTCGTTATATTTTAAATGACTTTTAAGCAATACATTGGTCAAAATATGGGAAGTAAGTGTCAAAAACCTCTTACATAAAGAAAATTGTGAAGATTCTTGTGCTTACAAAAGTTTTACAAGCAAGAAATGAAGTTTGAGCTCAATAATAGTATCCAACATACTCATAGATAGATGTGATAAGACAATTGAATTTTTATGTGAAACCCTTGAAATGAGAAAAAAAAATACGACCTGACTTTGTTAAAATAGTTAAATGTATAATGATGATTATATATTTTCACTTGCCACCTTAACTAGAGAAGGCGAGATTATCAAATTATGAATACTTAGGGTCCGTTTGGGGCAGCTTGTGCGTTTCAGGATAAGCTACTTATCCTGAAACATGGCCCGTGGGTGTGTTTCAGGATAAACTGTTTATCCTGAAACGCGGCCCGCCGGTCTGCGTTTAGTGTAAAACCCAAACACAGTTTCGGATAAACTGGCGAAATGCGCGAACCAAACGGTACGGCGACGTTTTGAAAACGCCGCCCGCACTTACAAGTTGCCCCAATACTCATCATTTTATTGTTACAATAGCGATTGTCAGATTGAAATATTAATTAAAAGATAATGGTTAAACAATAATAGCATGGAGATAGAAATCAATCTATAATAGTGAGCTCTGAATGGCCGACTATAAAAGTCGCTAGCAGTAGTTGACTATGATTCTTAGGGATCATTAACTGTCCACTCTCTTCACGAGTTTGAAATTAACTATCAACTCTCCAATCAATCTTTATATAAAAATAGTGGTATATATGTAAGTTTTAATATTAATATTTATATAAAGCTGGCCAAAATCCTTTTTATATTCCATCGGGCAAACACCATTAGTTTTTTGTTAATTATAAATCACTTTGCCAAATATTAAATTGATGGATCTTAGGCTAATTGATTCTCTCTCATTAAGTCACTTAATTTAACTATAAGCATGTTAAATTCAAAGAATATTTGACCTTCCAATTAATGTTTTGAAGCTTAGTGCTTAATTTGAACTCATTTGGATTTGGATTAAATCACATGTGGTGTCGTTAGGTTTATGTCCTCAAGATGTCCAATTTGATTATAAACTTGCTAAAATTAGAATTTAGATTATATTAAATTTTGATCTAAAAGTTTTCTCATCATAAATGCATTCAGATTTCTATTTGATAATGCGGCTTTTTTGGTGACATGTCAAGGATAAAGTGAAATGCTACATGATCTGATTCTTGAACTTTTATTGGGATAAAGTGCTCAAGAATGGGAGCTACATTTGAATTTTTAGGAGATACCTCTAAAATCTTATGCGTGTGATGGAATATTTTATGTTATATATAAGGGTGGTTATGAAGTTGATAGTACTTGACTTGGAGAGAGTGTGAAATATATAAAATGGATTGTTGCTAAACTCTTTAAAATTAAGTTGTTTTTTAATGTAACATTTAAAATTTATTAAAAACTTTAAAGTATAAGTGTAATCATATTTGAGCACTCATGGGATAGGTGACCCACTAAGTGGGCAATATTATGAGGCCATTAGGCCAAAATAGATAAAATCTTGATCGTTGGGAGTTGGCTATTGTAATTTCATTTTTTTAGGTTTTAAGGCAATATAGCTTTCTCCTATTTTGTTGGCTTTTAGATGAATGAGGAGATGAATATTTATAGCTAAAGCAACAATGTTCACTTATTTTGGAAAGTTGGGAGCTAAAACAAAAAAAAAATTGTTCATCTTTATCTTTAAAGAAGAATAACCACAATGACAAATGATTGTCAGTTCTGACTAACATCAAACTGCATTAGATTCTTAAATTGTGTGATCATACTTGTTGATAGAACTCAACAAACCATTTAAATCTTAATATCTTTCCCAATGTTTTATCCCTTTTGCAATTATTTTTTGTTCCATGTAGTCATTTTAATTTTAACTCCTCCTCAATTTAAATACACTCACTTTCTATAACACCCTTATCGAACTATGTGGTAAACCATGGACGACCAATTCAATAAAAAGTCTAAAAAAATGAGTAGAAAACAGTACAATTACGTGCATATGATGCCACATTTCGTAATCTCTTTTGGTCTTATTCAATTAGTTAAATGATTTTGGAACTCAATAATGAAATGGCCCATTCAATAGAATACCTTAGACTCATAATAAGAGTTGTAAGATCCACATCTTATAGGATGATTTAATTATATTTGTCTTAGTTGTGCACAAACAAAAATGTTGTTGGCATGTCTTTGTCAATACTCCAACCCCCTCATCTTTAAAATTAGAGCTTTCCAGTGGCTCTTTGGATCAAGACCTCATCAACTCTTCTTTAGAGGACTCCTAAGTGAGGACAAAATTAGCTCGAAATATCAAGATTGGCATGGACAAATTTGCAAATTATGGGAATAATATGTAATAAATATGACATAAATTTTAATTGAAAACACATGATTTTTGCAACTCAAGTTAAAATTAATAATTGTGAGATATATTTTAACAAAAAATTAATTAAAATATATTGGCACAATTTAAGGTTCGGATGAAGGCAATACCGCACCAACTCTTACCTGTTTGGTTCTAACAAAAGCTACCAACTCTTTCCTAACTCTTACAAAAACAAAGAATAATAATAATAATAATAATTATTATTATAATAAATAATTTTGTTCTTCTCAAAAGAATGAAGTAAGGTTTTTTTATTGAGAAAATATTACATCAGGACTCCGAATGCTTTCGAAGTTCATTGGTGGGACACCACGTGTCAAGTTGACTCCACCATTTTTAACACCGTCCAATGTCAGTGTATTGCGGTGGGATCCACTTGACATGTGACGTCCTACTATTGGACTCCGAACACAAATTACGTTAGGAGTCATGATGTAATATTTTCACTTTTTATTATCTACAAAGTAGAGCACTAGAATACTTAGAGCTTGTTTGGAATATATATTTTTTTAATTTTTTAAAATATATTTATTTTACGTGTTTCTTATATATTTTTATTTTTTATTTCTAAAAATAAAATAACATATTTTTAAAAACACTCAAAATAATATGTTATTTCAAGTGTTTTCAAAAATAATTATATCTTAATAAATAATATCAAATATATTTTATTTTATTTTATTAAATATAAAAAAAATAAAGAGTAGAAAATAAAAAATTAAAAAATAAAAGTAATTTCCTTTAAGATTCTAAAATTAGGTTTTGATTTCCACCTCATTTTAAGATTTTAAAATGAAGATGATATGTCGTGTCAATTCCCTATTTTCATTTCACTAACAAAATTAAATGTGGCTCAGTTTCGGTCGTTGGTTCCTTTTAGCATGGGGACCACCTTTTGTTGTTTCGTAAAAATCGACTCGCCGTTTTGTTCTATTATAATTTATGGGTTCCACGTGGGACCCGCAGGTCACCCTTCTTCTATATGCTCATATGCATGAAAACTTTATTGTATTAATGATCTTGAGAAAAATTATTCGGTGCCGAGATGCATCGTATTGGTGGGACTCATTATGGGAAAAAATTTGCGTACATAAGACGTACGCAGAGTTGCGTACGTCTGTAACCTGCAAACAGGTTACAGGGAGGATTTTAGGAGGTTATAACCGCGTTATTCCCCCTGTAACCTCCCTGTAACCTCCCTGTACCTTCGAGTAAGTTCCGCGCTTCTGTTTTCATATATAGGTAGGTTACAGGGAGGTT